GGACTGTGTAAAGGAATTTCAATTGGAATAAGGGGGTTGAGAATCTCCCATTTATAGTTTGCTGATGACACTATGATCTTCCTTAAATCAGAGATTGAGAGCCTTGTCAATGCCAAAAGGATATTAAGATGCTTCCAAGCAATTTCAAGGTATGAGAATTAAATTTTCATAAGAGCAGCCTAGTGGGAATAGGAAAGATGAGAATTTTGGTAGAGTTTGTGCTGAGAGGATTAACTGTAGGTTTGATGATATTCCCATGGTGTTCTTGGGGTTGCCACTAGGGGCAAATCCCAACTCGATACAAACGTGGAAACCAATCATAGAGAAATTTGAGACTAGGTTAGCAGGATGGAAAGCCAAGACGCTATCTATAGGAGGAAGAGTTGCATTACTTCGGTCAGTTCTTTCTAGCTTACCTATCTTTTACATGTCTATATTCTAAATTCCAAAAATAGTGATAAAGGAGTTGGAGAAAATTGAAATGAGATTTTTATGGTGCGGCAGTGAAGAGAAACAAAAAATACACTACATTGAGTGGAACAAAGTATGCAATTATAAGAAGAATGAGGGGCTAGGGATCATTGATATAGAGGTCAAGAACAAAGCCTTACTTAATAAATGGCTTTGGAGGTATGGGAGTGAGATGGGCAGTTTATGGAGAGAGGTAATTGTGGAGAAAGTAGGAGAAAATCCCATCAGCCTTTTACCTGAGAAGAGTGCAAACAGGAGAGTTTCAACAGTGTGGAAAAATATTATCAAACCCCTATCCCCAGTTATGATTTTTCTTTGCAGGTGAGCACTGGCATGCAACTGGTTGTAGGTGACGGAAGCAGAATCTTGTTTTGGGCCGATAGGTGGACTGATGGTGGTACTTTAAAGGAGCTTTATCCTAGAATCTTTGCCCTTGCAAGGAATAAAGATGGATACATCCAGGAGTTTGGTAGATGGGAAGAGGAAATATGGGTGTGGGAAGTGCAATTAAGTAGGCCAACATTTGGGTGGGAGGAAGACCAGCTAAATCAACTGAAAGAATGCATTGGACAATACCATCTAAGCAAAAAATTAACGGATTCTCTTGCTTGGAAAGGTACTGCTTCTGGCCATTACACAGTTAAATCTTTTTGCAAGCAAAAACTCACAAATGGAAGGAGTAATGAAAGTGTGTGGAAGAGAATATGATCGAATTTAGCACCGTATCGAATGGAAGTGTTTTGTTGGCAGATAATCCATGAAAAGGTGGCAGTCAAGTATGAATTACTACGAAGAGGATTAATTAATAATGAGGCAGCTAGATGTGTCTTGTGTCACAGGGAGCAGGAGACTACAAGGCATCTATTTCTTCATTGTCCAAAAGTATGGAAGGTTTGGGCAAAATGGAGTGAAGATTGGGAAGCATGTTGGGTGGTCCCTAGTAATGTTATGAATTTTTCAACATATGGAATGAGGCGACAATAACAAAAGGGGAGAGACAGATTTGAAAATGGCTTTCTATGCAGTTTCATGGTCTGTATGGCTGCAGAGGAATGAAGTTGTGTTCAAAGGCATAGCTTGGGATTCGAATCAGGCGTATGAAATTAGTAAACTGAGGGTAACCATTTGGGCCAAAGCGAAGTGGCCTATGAGTATGGTGAGATTCTGGACACCTACAGGTTCCCCCAATTTGGAGCTAATTTAGTAAATGTGGGACATGGTAGGAAGATTGAGGGGTGATGCAAACCAACTCAGGGGGAAATGAAGTTCAATGTTGATGGAGCAGCCAAAGGATGCCCAGGGAGGCTGGGATTGGGGGAGCAATGAGGGATGAACACGGACATGTTAAGATCATTTTCTCGAAGGCTATAGGCATAGGGGATTCAAATCTTTCTGAAATTAGAGCAATTCGGGAAGCTTTCTTGTTGTTTATTCCATCCAAATGGAATCAATCACACAGTTTGATAATTGAGAGTGACTCATGTAATGCTGTTAAATGGGTGAACAAACCTTTGGAAGCACTCTGGAGATTAAGAAAATGGGTTCTCCATATTGAACGATTGAAAAATGATGTACGAAGATGGGAGGTGAGGCACACTTTTAGAGAGAATAACAAACTGGCCGATCGACTTGCAAAAGCTGGGGTTCAACGCACAGAGGACCTGGTGTCTGTGCTGGAATAGGCCTCAACTTTTGGTGCCATTGTTAAAGTGAGAAAGGAACCCAAGTAATGTGAAAAAATCTCTTTACCTTTGGGGTCAAGACTTTTCTGAGAATCGGGTGCTGTGGGTAAGTGTGGCGACTGAAGAAGCTGCTGGGATGGTTGGTGTTGTATGGATGAAGGTGAACAGTATCCATATTGGTCATGTTTTTTTTTTTACTTATGGGAAAGGTGGAATTTTGTTGTCGAATGTACAGTTATGGCGGAGATGACCCTATGATGTCTCTTCACTTCAGAGCATAACAGACCATGATCAACTCGTTTTGCTCCTCGTGAGGGTATTCAATAAAATTTTTTGAAAAAAGTTGCTGAAAAGTTGGTTAAAGAAGGGGTTATAGGCAGTAGGATTTCCTGCGGATATATGAACTGAGAGATGTAGCCGTGTCTTGGTTCCTTTGCCAGTGGTGCGTGTCAAGTTGATTATGTTGATTCTTCTTCGCTCGGGTCTGTCAACGTGCTGTCAACTTTTTTACTCCGAATGGATCTTGGTTTTGATGATCAAGGGCTTCAAGGGTTCTTAAAATCTCTTCTCTGTTTTTGGGTCATTTTTGTTTTGTGGTCTTTGGGTATTGCTGTCACTGTTTGAGGTTGTTTCTTAGGAATTATGTCGTCGTTGTTTAGCCTCCTTGTTCCCTGCTGTTATTTTTTATCTTAGGTAGGATAGAGGTTTTTTGTGAGGTTCTGATTGATAAGGGCATGCTACTGGGTTATGTAAGCAGTGTGTGAACTTTTTTGTTTTGGCTTTTCTTGTCATACCGGTTTTCTTTCATACCAATGAGAGTTTCTGGCAGCTCCAGTTCGAGACTATCAATGGTTTATCGGTTAATAGCCAATAAATTCCACTTTTCAAAAAAAAAAATAAAAGCAACCAAACCCAGATTCTTGCTGGATTTTGATGAGTATAAGAATTCAAGCCACCAAAGTGGCCAAAATGAAGAACATCTATATTGGAAATTTTCTGAGCTTTTTTTTTTTGGTGTTCAAGACAAAAAGAAATGAATCAGTATATTGCTTATTTTTCATTTTGGAAAACGTTGCAGTCTGATGTACGATCAGGCCCATAATCTATCTTTGAATTTTAAAAGAAATCGTTCTTAACATTGAAAAAGAAAAGGAAATGTATCAAGGTTTGTTTATCAATTTATTGATCTCTTAGACAAAAAATAAATTAAAAAAAACTTCAAATTTACCCGCAGTTGATTTCAGAACAAATACAGTATATACAATGCCAACCACCATGATGGTATGTTTAAGTTGGTCACTCTTATGTGCATTGAACTAGTGTCACAAATAATGGCCAAAAAACATAAAAACCCGATGACACAAAATACTATAATGGGTTTATGTTATTGATCTTTTGGGTTAAAACATTGTTTCTAGTATCTTGGAAAGAGAAGAATGTATTTTTTTTAATTACTCAAGATATAGGACAATATTTTAAGTTCAAAATTTCCATCATTGATATATAAAAATATTAATCCTTAAACTAAACTCTAGGGTAAATTGGAGAAAAACTTAACCAAGCTTGAGAGCAGTCATCAAACTTAACCAAGATTGGAGAAAAATATTAATACACGTGAACTTTATGCATAGTCATATTAAGATAGATAAAATACGCAAACACTCTTAAGTTTTGACTAAAATTACATAGAAAGTTATTAGTATTCAAAATAGACACTCCGTTTTAAAAAAATATTTTCACTAAACATATAAATCTAATCATTAGTCAATTGTTAATATTTTTATTATTTTAATAATATGATAATATTTTTAAAATAATTTTTTTAATTTTAAAAATTATAATTAAATAAATTATATTTTTTATTTTTTATGAAAAAATTTTTGATCACCCATGGCCAAAGATTAGGTTTCCCAAGCATTAGAACCAATACTCCCTTAGGGAGCCTAATTTGGGGCTCTCTTAAATAGCTCGATTAGAGTTCCCAAGGAAGCATCAGAGCGCAGGGTGAAGATGGGTGATCGATCGGTGAAAGGCACGTTGCCGACCAACTTGAGAGAAAGAAATAATAAAAAAAATATTTTAGACATTTCATATTTAATATTAATATTATTTAAATGTTTGAAACCGAATATTTACATTAAAAATTAATAAATTTTCGTATGATTTTGATTAAAATTTAAGAATGCCTAAATGTTTTACCCTATTAAAATTGAAGAATAACTGCTAAAATTCAATTGTGTTGCGCATGAAATACTCCAAATCCATCCCAACTTAAACTTGTTCATGCTTAAACGTCTAACCTTTAGATGTGTATCTATTTCAGCATTGCCATTGGCTGTGGGTCTCTTTATTCCAGCTACAAAGACACTCAAACGTCGGATTCTACCATGGCTGTGACTAATGGGACAAGGGAAGTCACTGACATAGCCATATAAAAAATATCTACAAAGGTAAAACAAAAAAAGTAGAGTTATTCTGACAGATACTCTCCACTGAGAATTTCTGATCTCATATATATGTTTCCCTCTCCCGTTTCTTTTGTCTGGGAACCGCTTTTTTGCCATCTTTTTTCTCTTTAATAAGGAAAGGAATTTCAGTGGCAAGATCAAACTGAAAAACTCCTTTATAAGTAGAAATAAAAGATCCCTTCATATTTTCGTTAGTTTATTCATGTAGTAATTTTTTTTAATAATTTTATTTTTCATTTATTTAAAAAATTACACAGTATATAAATTATAATTTTTATTTTTAAATTTTTTTCCTATTAAAAAAAATCTTTTCTCCCTTATTTTATTTTCTCTCAAAGAATGTGACTAGTCGACGACACTTCTATTTGTCGATCGACCTCCCCTCGACCGAATTTGCCTATGGATGATTAGATCCGATAAGATCTGGCGCACATCCCTTCAGAAACGTTATTTGGCAGCGCTCCCCTAGGGATTGCCAATCTCGTGCTCCTCAGGGAATGCCAGAAGAGCGTGATTGCCACTCTTTCTAAGGAGCATGATCAATGCTCCCCTGGAGAGTGTCGATCTTGCGCTCCTCAAAGAGTATCGTCGGCCAATCACATTGTTTGAGAGAAAAACAAATAAGAGAGAATGAAAAAAATATATTTTAATCATTTTATAGTTTTTGTTAATGATATTTGTACGTTTAGGTCTCATTATCTATTTTTAAAATTAATGAATTTGTATGAAATTATATTCAAAAGTTAAGAAAGTCTGAATATTTTACCCTATAAATATTTATATTAGCCAAGTGAGCATAATTGGATTAAAACCAAATTAATCAAACAATCCTATTAAAATCAAATTGATCAAAAAATTTTAATTAAAATAGTTTAGTTAATTCAATTAATAAGATTAGTTAATTCAATCGATTCAATTTTTTTTTTGACTAATCAAATTAATCAACTCTTAAATGAAGATTCAAAATGTAGTCCATGAAAATCAAATCCATAACCACATTAACCTTTTGTTTAATTTAGATATTGAAAAATACAAATTTGGTAAAAAAAAAATAGTACCTACTTTCATTATAATAATTTAACAAACTAAAAAATTAATATAAGAATTTTGATCTTTAATTTGAAGGGCAAAAACCACGACATGGCATGCTTAAATAGGTATATACAAATTGCTTCTTTATTTAATACATTGGCATAAAAAGTTTAAAAACTTTATGAACTAATTTCATTAATCATAGCGATTATAAATAAAGTAGTAAATAATTTATATATTTATATAGATAATTAAATGAATAAATGACGACCAATGAATTGTGAATCTATATCATCGTATTGATAAATCATTAAACATATACAATGAAATTTGGTTTCCCTACTTAATTCTTGTTGTTGGAACATCTCAATATTTGTAATTTTTAGAAATTAGAAACTTGGAACAATTTTAATATTTTCTTGCACACAGTTGTTGGAACATTTTAGTGCACTTCCATTTATATTTTTTGAAATATTTTAATGTGTTTAACGATATTTGTTGAAACATTTTAGTGTTACTATGCAACGAAATAATAGTACAAAACACAGCAATTTGAGAGGGAAGATTCATGCATATCACAAAAACACACAATGCCTTTTATGCACAACATTGTCAGCTATATGGATTACAACAAACAAAGCCTTTCACCAAAGAAAATTTTGCATAAGAAGACAAACCAACTACTTCAGATTGTTGGAAAGTCCACGTTTCACAGAACAATGACTAAACTAGCAATGCTCCAAATTTTATATGAATTTATATAAGAAAGCCAAAGAATTTACCAATGCATACAAGATTTTTCAAGCTGCAACCACCATAAATATCCATCCCTGCATATTGGAATTGACAAATCAACAGATTTGTTACCTCTTGCTCGACAACCTACCAGGCAAACCTTATGGTTTAAGCATGGCACCACCTAATTTTATAGTTTTCAATTCTCTTACCATTAGCTGTATAACCCTAAACCCTAGACCAATTAATTTGTTAACTAACTACACACTAAAATTAAATATTTATCAGTGTGTGTGTGTCTGCAAGATGCATAAGAACACATTCAACTTATACTAAATTATAAACCAGACTAAGGAAAGCAATGTGATTTCAAGAGTCCTGATCATCCTAGCAGTGTCCTTGATGCAAGTATTAACTAGGAAATACAGTCACCTACAGAGTATATTATAAATAAAAGGAACTTTTTAATCTTTGCATAAAATTAGTATTGTAACCCTGAAGGAAGGGGAGAGTGCCAGTAAGAAGCTAAGTTGACCCCCATGCCAAAAATCTTGAGACTACCTTAAACATCTAAGGTGAAAAGAGATATTGGACAAAAGACTATTCATCCTTAAAAATTTGTAAAAGTAAGAGGCCAAGTACTGAGTTAACGTGACAAATATTACACCTTAAGCCTTCAGATTTCCCTCGACCTATCATGATCTGTAAGTGTTTTTATTTTGATCCTTGCTTTTTGAAGTACTTGTCTATCACACAATATAGAATGCAAACTCTGCCAATCAGAATTTGAGGCTATACCAACTTACATGTAGAAATGAAAGAGTGAAGACAAAGATGAGCATGCCTTTTGTCAAGGTCCATCTATCCAAGGAAGAAGGAAAACAAGAAAACAGGGGACAAGACTGCATTAATTGCATCCAACAAAGAAGAAAAAAACAGAAGGTTGAAAGCAAATTAATTTTTACAAAATGATGAAACTATGTTTTCCTAAATACCTTGGCATACAAGTATATATGGTGTTCTGGAATATTTATTTATTCAGTCATCATGTTCGTCATCTTCAGAATCTGCAGAACAACAGGATATTCAGACTTTGCATTACGAGATAGAGTAATAGTATCCTTTTCCTAATTCATATAAAGTAAAAAATTTGACTTAAAATATAAACAAAATGAACTGTTTAAATGAACTCGAGCATTTGACTCATTGGTTGGTGCCTTATCTCCCTGCCTAAAGAGCAGGGTTCGAATCCCTCTCCCCCAATTATAAAAAAAAAAAATGAACTGCTTAAATGCTGCCGCAATATCAACAGAACAATTTTCCCTGCAGTCAAATTTCTTGCATCTGAGAGAACTTTTTCTGTTCTTAGGTAACTAGCTGCTTTATCAAGTTTGAACATATAAAAACCTACTATTTTCAAATGACAATAACAGCAACCATTTCAGTCCATTTATTTAGTCCTCACAGCCACAACTGAGTTAAGACTTTAAGCATCATCAACACAAACTTTTCAAGTTCTCCTTACTTACGCTTCAAAAAAGCTTGGAACATGGTTTGTCCCTCAGGTTGTGAAAGCATAATTATTATCAGTGAGCAAAACGTGCATCAACAGGTTACAACTACATATGTACAGTTGGGTTGCCAGTTTGATGCTCAGTAACAAAGGGTTATCCAGAATGATTTCCTTTTCTGTGCAGTGTTCTCCGCATAAGTTATAGTCTTTGCAACCTCCAAATTAATAATTCATTTTCTAGTGTTGATGTCAGATATCTATTCGTTTCTCCTAATGATGTTAAAGAAGAAAAAGTTTTACATTCTCATAAATTTAGAATTATCCTATCAATGCTTTAACTTTTACTTCTTTTTCTTCTTTCTTCCCTTAGATATGTGTTCCTAATTCAGCATAGCTGCAATTTAAAATCATTTCTAGATGGCTCATACCTGATCGAACATCATCAACCTGTCCTCCGGAATGGATTTGTCTGATAATCACTCTTATCATCAAGACCCACCAATAAAGATGAAGAACAAGCAAGGAGAACAAAAGAGTGTTAAACAAATAATAGTATATAGATCCATCCACCATGTGCTTCTCCTTGTCCAATGTCAAAAGAACTTCATAGCTGTGAAATATAAATTAAAAAAAAAATTTGAGGGGTTAAAATCCTAAAAGAAAGCAAGCAATTCACATAGCCTCCAACTGGAGAAAGCAAAACACTAAAGGTAAAGGAGGATAAAGTAAGGAGTTTCCCAGAGACAGTGAAGGGCCAGTGACATCAGCAGGCCAAGCAAAGTTGCAGTAAAACAGCCAGTTAACAATGAAAATAAGTAAAGACAAAAAGGAATGACAAAATGGAAAACAGACATAAAAGAAGAAAAACGAAAACAGAAAATGATACAGTTCAGAGCTTCTAAACTTGGGTTCTCAGCTCATAAGAGGAAACTAGAACTTGAAGATTTTAATTAAAAATTAGAAACAACATTCCAATGATGAATTAAGAATTTAATGTTATGCAAGCAGGAGAGAGAAATATCTAAAAACTGGGATTACTGAGAAAAGTCGCAATAGCTCTTAGTCTCATAATAACCAAACATAAATGCAAAAGGCACAAAAATGAGCCCAAGGGTGAACTTTGCTTTATTCTTCCATAATTCTACACATTGTGTTGAATCCTTTCATTAGCATTTTAAAGAAAAGAAAAAAAAGTAGCTGAAACTCTGGATATATAATGGGGCCATGTTCTGATGCAAGGATATATGGAGATCGGCAAACAAATGTAATCTACATCTAATTCTATTAATCAGTTTCTACATTTTTCAAAATTTCTTTGTCCCGGCAGTTCTGGAACACTTTTCATCTACCCTATGGCATTGAATTATACTTTCATCAGATCAACAATTCTCCTCAGTTAATGCATATACATTGATATCGTAAAATAAATGGATCATGAGTAATTCATTGTTTCATGTCCTGTAGGATGTTATAAAACAAAGGCACATAATACAGAGCAATACCCAAAAACATTAAAAAGTTCCAGTTAAGCTCAGACCGAGGCTCACCTTGTACTCCAGATTACCCAGAACGGGAAAAGAATCATGCGAAGAATGGTCCAAGAGAGGGCAAAAAGAATAAATGAGACACTAGCAGGCCATTCAAAGCCACTATATTTTGACATCTTTGCAATTTCTAGGAACACATCACTCCCATCATGAAGGGCAAAAGCAACTGAACCTACACGAGCAAACCTGCAACAGGCAGAAGAAAATTACTAAGATGCAAAAGGATGAGAGCATTACTTCAACCAAAACATTAATTAGACATCAGAAAGTTATGAAAGAATTGGTAACAGACGTAAACTCGATTCTTCACAGAAAAAGTAGAAAATAGGAGCTGCGATGCATTTGTACACTGAATGAAATACCTGCATATGTAAGATAGCACGATGAGAATGATACTTGCTACATGATGAACCATGGACACCACAAAGTCTGAACGCCTTGTCTCCCAAAAAAACAATGCAAATAGGGAATATGTATAGAATCCACCAACATACATGTATAATCCTTTCAACTTCAATCTGAGCATCAAAAACAAGCAAATCATCTACCAAGAAAACATGAGATGTCTTAAACATGACTAAGAATCTGAGAATACAGATAAGTGTCCGATCGAACATGAAAAGATAATGCTAACTGACTTTGATATGGAAACATTATAAATACATGAGTCAGGCGCTTACTTAATTTTTAGATCAGGCCAAGCCTGTTCTCCAGGTCCTTCCCAAAAATACTTGGTATTGGTAAACCAAGGCTCACCGTAGGATACATAAATGGTCAAACATTCTGATGAAAGAAAGTAGACACACTTCCATGCTGACTCTTTGAATTTGTTGAGTTTCTTCCTACTATCATGCGTATGAACCTCCTGCAAGGTGTGGGCTTTGCCAAGGACCAGTCTCCTAGCCAGATTCTGCATAAAATATTAACAGCAACTTCAAATCAGGCAAACTTTTGAGAAAAGGTAAATAGCAAGAGATGAGAAGTTGAAGCCATAAATCATGAATGCAGGTTTCAATTAACACCATGAATGTACTTTTACCAAGTATCAGTCATTTCTCACTACTATTTCATGATCCTGTCAAAATTGTTCAAAGCAATATAAAAGATTAAGAATTTATTGATTATGCAAAAAAGGTCCTAACTAAAAGAAATGGAATAAGTAAATATCAATAACAAGGACCCTGTATGGAAAGATGTTAGATGTAAGCCCAGATGCTTTTAACTAACTGCAAACATCCTCTCTATTTTTCACATTTTATCATTGCAATCATCATCAATTGAGAGGAGAATGGACATAGAATCCACTGATACTTCAGAACAAGACACAAAAATCCCATACCACCTTTCCTCTTTCTTGTTGAACCATTAGCACTCTGCCCTAGAGGGTAGAGCATTTTATCACAATGTTAATGGTCATATGATCATATGACAACATATGAATTTTTGTTCTTACATTTACAGTTTTCCTGTTAGCCTTCAACCAACAATGGTTGTGGCTTAAATCTAAAAAAGCTAACTCTGAAGTGGCTTGGTGGGTCAAAGGTCACTAGTAGTGTTTGTTAGGGAGGGTAAGATTCATGCTCATTAATCTTGGCCAACCAACTTGTTACCATTATATCCTCCTTGAGACTAAGATTTGAGTATAACTTAATCCCTTAAGGGAGCACATATGACATATTTGGTGGATCAACAAGGAAGATCTAGATCCATCAAAGTATGGATTCTGCAATGGATAAGACTTATTATAGTCAAGCATAAAGAGGGCAACATTGACCATGATCTCTTTATCCCTTTGATCATATATTGGTATGTTTTGCAAAATATTTTTCTTACAGCTTCATCTAATTTTTACACAAAACCTTTTCCTTTATAGGACATCATAGCAAATCAAAATATTTTTCTAACAGTTTCATTTAATTTCTACACAGGCCCTTTTCCTCTATCAGACATCAAAGCAAATCCCCAAAATTGTCCTCCATGTTAAATGTAGATTGAAACTTCATTACAACATAAAGATTTGGAGATGCATGATTGTATGAAGGCTGGAGCTGCCTCCTTTCTGAAATCAACTTTAGCATGCTTTGATAGATATATCCTGAAATAACTGAAACACTATAACCTAGCATTAGCAGTCATGACTCATGAGGCATGGTCATTAAGAAAGCATTTCACTATTATAAAAGGAGATACCATAGGGTCACTTTAGTACTTGTCACAACATCAAACTCAAAAACTTAATCTCCCCAAATTAAGCAAATGGCAGAATCAGTCTCACATGAGATGGCAAGTTATCAAAAAAATATCGAAGATCGAAGTTTTAAATCCTTTTCATCCTAAATTTGCTTAGTGAAATAGTGTTTAAAACCCTTCATAAGAAATCGATGATCTATAATAAAAATCAGAGCAATTTTAAACATATAAGTCAACAATAATCAAAGAATTGAAACCAAATAATTAAGTAAAGACTGTAAACCCGATCTAGTCCATCAAGACTAGAGAAAAAATTCTAAGCTGAGAAATGTGCTGAAGCGTGATTTTTGAATATGTCACAAAACCAACTTGATTGTGAGAGTTTTTGACTTTCATTAATCTCAACTGTTCATGTAGAAAAAAAAAACATAGAAAGTAGTTAAAAGAAGTTGCTGTGATTACGTTAAATAACATAATGCAGTTCATACAAATCCAGATTCCAATCCAATTTTCCAGCAGTTATGTTATAGAAGTGAATATTTTCAATTCCAAGTTGAGTAATTGAATCATGCTAACCGCTCTCTCTAAACAGGGTTATTCTTAGAAATCAAACTTATACTATTAAAACTATAGGTAGATGGCACAAAAAGGAAAGGTCTAAGATCATAATTCATTCAACAAAAAATCTAATCGCAAATCAAAATAAAAGTCAACAAGGAATAATAGCGTTGAACTAAAACTCTTTTCTTTGACCCGCAATTCCACCATAACGAAACAATTAGAGAAAAAACGAAGATGAGAGTCAAAAAAACAGAACGGGGAAGAAAAAATGATAGTTTAGATACCTCAAAGACAAGTTTGTTTAGGAAAAACCTGACAGCAGGGAAGAAAAGAGCAAAGAAAGGAAGGAGCAAGAAATCGTTGAGTTCTGGGTAAGACTCTGACTCCCAGTTGATTGAGTTGGACAATCCAAAAAGACCCATTTGTTTGTAACGAAAGAACTTGGAGTATTTTGTGAGAGAGAATAAAATTGATAAGATTTGTAAAGGTGAAATGAGGAGTAGTTGGGATTGAGAGAGACAGCCATGTTTCTTCTTTACTATTTCGGAGTTGAAACCATGCTCCTTTTTCCTACGGAAAAGTGCGTTCGCGAGGTGACCCACAGCACAACGAAAGGGAAAACAGAAATTTAACTCTAGCGGGCTGGAGACGGCACGGGAGGGTAACAATAGTGTGGCCGGTGAGTCGTCAATCCCGTAATTTTGATCGCCATTAAAGAATGACAAGGAATTAAATGGGTTTAAATTTAAAATAATTATATTGTGTATTAATCATTTTGATTCGATTAAAACATGATAATTTCATATTTTAAATATATAAAATTATTTTATTTTATTAATAAAATTATCATATCGACTTGCATAATTTATTTATTTATGATTTGTCTAAATAAGTAATATAAATTTTTTTTTAATATTATTGATATATTATTTTTATTTTATAAATAAATTTTGCGACTCAAGAATTATATGTGCAGTGAGGAATGAGTTTTCAATCTTGAATATTGGTGATTTATTATGTCGACAGATTATGAATATTATTTGGATTTTATTATGATTCTCTTGTGTTCATGTTGGATTTTATTGTGTTTTTGGTTGATATTGATGAATTTCTCACCTACTTGATAGAAATTATTATTTTATTATAATTGTTTTACGATTTTTAGTTTTAAATTGGAATGATGGAATTATATTTTATTTGTATTTATGTTAAAATTAACTTATTAACAAAAAATATTTTAGTTTTATCATATTAATTGTTTAAAGAGTTATTAATCATATGGTATAAAACTTAATTTAATTTGTTTAATAAACATGTTAAGCATATTTTATTACAATACACATTTAATACCATATTTGTACAAATATTTATGATATTGATATGTTTAATTAATTATATTATATTTTTATTTACTTATATAAATGTTAATATCTAATTATTTCGTAACATGGCTATCACGTAGAAACTCGACTGTCAAGTTTAGCATTATTAACCGAAGTAAGATGTTTAAAAGTTTACTTTTACTTAAGCAGTGGGTAAAAGATAAATTAACACGTTTTTTTATTTTTTAAATGTATGATTTTTTTACATAGGAAAGCTTACTGGGGTTGAGTCTTGCAAACAGAGAAAGTTCTTCCATCGTTAAAGCCTCTGTACAGGGACTGTATGGTTTTTTTTTTCTTTTAAGTTAGAAATTCGCGCAGGCCTAACTATTTTGTTATAATTTTATTAATAAAAATAAAATAAAACTACAATCAGGAAGAGACATTTACCAAACCTCCAGAATTACATAAGATAAGGGAAAGAAATTCCTATTGAGGTAATTACTTTCTTTGCGGTTTTTTCTTTTGGATACATCGAATAAGTAATTAATTGTATACCAGAATCTAAGAGGACAAACAACATTAAAAAGTACTACCTGACTATATGGTTCTTTATATGAAAACATCATTCTAATTTCAATTATCATTATCACGATTACGGCACAATCATTTGTAATTTTGGATCATTATTTTGATATGATATTATTAAATAAATGCAAATTTTTAAAAACCATTTTTTTATCCTTTTTGTAGTACATGAAATTTAAAAATCATGGATAGTGATAACTTTATTTGGATTTAACAAAAATTGTTTCAATATGAACAGTACACAAATAGATAGAGAAATTTTAATTAATCAAAATAACTCATAGGTCTCTATATTATAGTGTTTTCTTTAATTTAGTCTCTTTATTTCAAAATTAATTAATTTAATCTTCCAAAATTTTATGCAATTAAATGCTTCTATCTAATTCGGTCTAAATTGACCTTTTAAGTGGTGTGGACATATCAAACCATGCTGATATGGCATTGATCTATTAGACTAAAAAATTCTTTTGGCATAATAAAGTTTTGTTCAATTTAATCATTATACTATAGAGTTTAGCTCAATTTAATTCATATATTTTATAATTTTATACAATTTAATTTGTATGACTGGTACAAAGAAAATGGTGTATAAAAAAAACTTTTTGTTAACGTGTCAGCATCACTAACAGTTAAATCAGACAGAATTAAACAAAAAGATTTAATTGCACAAAAAGTTAAAAGTACAAAAATTACATTCACTAGTTTTGAGGTAAAGGATTAAATTGATTAAAAAAACGTTGAAGTATAAAGATTTATACGGTATTTTGATCATTTTTAATTAGTAAATTTAATGAATTTTTAAATGTAAAAAATAAAAATTTACTTAAATTTTTTTGAATAATTAAAATTTTTTTATCATTATACCAAATATTTTTTATTTAATAAGCTATTCTATTATGCTTAAATCCTAAAACAAAATCATTTTCATTTTGAATAAAACAATAAAGCATCGTCATATGAAGTTTTGTTTTTTCTCTAATACCAAACTAAGAAGGTTTTGTTAAAGAAGAAACAGAAAAGCAGTTAGTACTCTATTGATGAAATAAAAAGAAGAGCAAGGAATAATGAAGAACACCAAAGATAAAAGCATATAAAAGTGAATAATTAAAACCAAATTATCAACATTATAACAATTACAATAATTGATGCCAAAATTAATCATCAACTCATCTTGAATAAAATTAGAACAGTTGATGCAAAAAATTCAAAGTCCCTTAGAAAAACGTTACTGATTAAAACTTGCACTAGGGACAAAACTTGGAATGCCCAGGTATCGCATGCCCTTTAACTTCAAATAATTCCATGAATTAACACATTCCTGGCTAATGGATAACCTGATATGTTTATAAATTCTGTTTTTATTTTGCAGGCTGGAATATTACGAGTGGAATGCCTCCTTCGAATAGTTATGACTCAGTTTCGAGCGGCCATGAAAGGTTGCATTGGAACCCTGCCAAGGAATGCCTCTTCGGTCTGCTCATTGTGATAATTGCGTTCATGGCCGTATTACTGCTGAAGTTGTCATGTTCCAAACCTCAGCCTGAACCAAACCCACCAAGCTACCAGTCAGAATGGCCAGAGCAGGTGGAGCACAAGTTAGCAAATGATGTGTCTGATGAGGTCTTTGTTATTATGGCTGGAGAACAAAAACCCAGTCGCTTGGCTAAACCGGTGCCTGCCACCACTCAGCCATGTGAACAGGTATGAGCAAAGCTATGGGCATAGAGATTTTACACCCCCCAATGTTTGTTATTAAGAGATGCTGTTTCCTCAGCATGAATGGATGCAGGATGAGAGTGATTCCAATCATACGAGACAAGGATATAGCAATTTCCTTCAATTTTATAATTGAAATAGTAACAAATTAAGTTCTAAATGGAGTAGTTACCACATATTTCTCCTCTGCATTAGTGAATCTCACAGTTAAAAGAAAAGGGTGATGCTAGTTTATCTCACAAAAACTTTGTGATTGTCGAACTTAAGACAAAATAACAATTGCGTAAGATTAATTTTTTATGATTAGTATGATAGTTAGACTATTATAAGGTTTAAATCCTACAAAAACTTACATATTATATCAGTTTATTCAATTAACTCTTTTAAATTTAATTTATTATATTTAAATCAAATTTTAAATTTTTATTTTAAATCAAATAAATTGTAAATTTTAATAAAAAAATTAACCGCTATTATTAGAATTCAATATCAATTGATATTTTTATTCATTGCCAGGCGAACCTAAAAAACCCTATTTTTCAGTTCCTCACACCTCTCTCTACTAGTCTTTTATAATAAAATAAAAAAACTCTCTTTTTCCTTTTCTTTTCATGGAAAAACAAAACCTAGATCTGGTAGCAAACGAAGAGACTTTGTCGATTCCTTGTCCCTCTTCCCTACAAGAAAGAGAAGGAAAGGAATAGGGAAATAGGCTTTTTAGTGATTTTGACTCTTTTTTAAAAAAGAAAATAGTTGTTGGTCTTTTTTAGAACATATGTTACGTGGGTAAAAATAGACAATTTATATTGGGTTTAATGGTAGTTAAATTTTTATTAAGTTGAAAAACTTATTTAAATTTAAATAAAAATTTAAAAATTTGTTTAAATGCAGCAAAATGTGAGATAATAGAATAAAAAGATATAATACATGAACTTTTTTAAAGTTTATGCCTTAGAGAAAATGAGGTAGAGAATAAAACAAAGTCTGAAAAGCTTGTAAAAAAGTCGGCCTTTTTGTTTTTTTTGCCATGGAAATGTTGGCCAGTGAGAAAGTGAGTAAATTACTAAAGTGCATTATTAATTCTTGATCTTTTCATAAAGTTTCATTTTGATCCGTAGTTTAAAAAAGTCAAGTTTTTCATTTATGATTTTATAAATTTATTTGAAATTCATTTATTCATTAATATATTGTTAAAATTTTAATAGAATATAAAGGAAATTTTATCATATGACATTTTCATAAACATGGTAAATTTTGTTCAAATTTTAACACACCCTTAATGAATTGGGTGAATTTAAAATTAATTAAAAAATTATGAATTAAAAAATTGAGTTTCTAAATCCCGGATGAAAATAAAATTTTGTAAAAGAAAAATCTTAAATTAACGACTTAATTTGCTCTTAGAAGGCAGAAAAGGTCAAGTTTTGCATGTAAACATTCCAATTCTTTACCTAAATCAACCGTTTTCTTTCCTTTTTTTTTCTATAAGAAGTGATGATTTATTTGAAGATCCTTTTATGTATATCAAATGCTAAAATTTGTCCATGTGATCATAATCCTCTGACGTCGACTTTATTGTTTGGATTAAAGGGAGGGGTAAGGGAAGGGAGATTTATATTCCAACTTACAACTGGAATAATTTTTTTTTAAATAAGATTTTATTTTATTCATTTATCACTCTTTAACCAGATAACGTTTGTAGTTAATATATTCCTTTTTTTTCTTTCTCACGTCTTTTAAAATAATCAAAATCAAGGAGAAATTATCCCTTGTCTTCTTTCTTTCCCTCCTTCTCTCGGCTTAACTCACTCTCGTATTTTCCAACTAATTCCATATGAAGAAAGAGTTAATATTAACTAATATCATCTAATACTAATTCAATCAGTCAATAGAAAACTATATATAGGATCATCAGCTGTTTTCCTTCTAAAAATGGTTAATAAAATTTCAGAGAGATGCTATGCCTTACCATCATTCCAATATTTGGTGACTAGCAGCCATGACCAAAACCAAACATTTTGAGTAATCTTTAATTACATGGTGCAAGTTTGCATTGCAAGAAAATTTTTGCGATAGTTGTACTTATTAACTGA